TTTTTTTCTCAGTTTTTTTTTTTTTTTTTTTTTTTTTTTTGGGCTGGCCCTTCCCTGATCCCTGCACAGCTCGGCCGGCCGGTTAAACAAGGTGACCCGGACAGCCCGCCGGTTGGTAGCCCAGCTGTATACTCGTTACTTTCATTTTTTTTAAGTTTATTTTTTTTCTAGGAATTGCAGTCTTGCCTTTTAAACAGCCAATGCATGACGCCACTCAAGTTGAAAACCACGACTGAGCCTCTCGGGGAAAAAAAAACGGAGGCTGGAGACAACTGGACCAAAATGGCTGGCAACGAAACAAGAAAACGCCGAGCTGGCATTTCGGCAAAACTTGGCCTGCAGTGGGAATTCGCCTCGCACAAATGAGGCTTGTATGTACTGGTCCCTTTAAACTGCCAGTGCAAGTCGAACAGCAATCACACAAGCACACACTGTACTCAAGAGCGTCGGATTTCGAATCGAATTTGACACTCAGAGAGAGAGTTTTCACTTGCGAATGAAAAAGCGATCCACCATCTCAGCACTCCCCGAGTACCTCCGAGCCTCTCTTTCCCAAAGCGGATTCGCACTGCGCGGAGCGCGCCCAAAAAAAGGAACCGCCAGTGGCCCAGCGGGGCAATTTTTTTGCTTTTTTGGCTGGCGCTGGCACTGCCAGTGGTGCATTTTTAAAACCTTTTTTGGCGCGTGCTGGCACCACCAGCCATTTCGGTCTGGCAGTACTGTTATCCGAAGAACCCACGTAGTGTTGCAATTTCAAGTCTCACACGCTTGCCTGGGTGGGGAATTGGCGGTTTAATGGGGTGTAAACTTTAAAGGGGGTTGCCTGGGTTGAGAGTGTGGATTTGGTCTCTCACCTCCTCTTTGTTTTTCTGATTTGTAGATGCCTTTTTTCGAAGTTTTTTGAAAATTTTAAGACTTTTTTTTCTTTTTTTCTTTTTGTGTACGCACACAACACAGCAAATGCCCCCATCCCCCCCTCCTCTTCCCTCTTTTCGCATCCCTTTCTGTGCTCATCTCAGAGACGTAGGCAGAACCAACCCCCACCCTCCTCCCCCCTCTCCTTCCTTTATTGTTCTGGGAGGGAAAAGGGAAAGCAGCATTCTTGTGCTGTTGGTGAATTGGCTCAATCTGCTTTCGACTCCCTCTCTGAAAGTCTCTGTGATTGTTTCTGACACTGATGAAATCTCTGATGAATTTACTGATGAAATCTCTGATGAATCTCTGATGAAATCTCTGATGAATCTCTGGCGAATTTCTGTTAAATGTCTGATGAATCTATAGTATGTGGGATGTATACATAGATCCTAATTGAGCTACTACTGCCTGCTAGTCTTCCAATTAATTGTTTGACTATTCCTTTATCTATAGGCTACCAGAGTCGCCCGGGACCACTTGCCCGGCCGGGCCAAAAAAAAAA